CATATCTAGCCAAACTCAATATACTTAGCCCTTGCCAATATGGCTTCAGGCCCAAAAAAAGCACTAACGATGCACTTATTAGTATGCTTAACTCGATTCATACAGCTCTTGATAAAAATGAGTTCCCTGTTGGGTTATTTGTGGACCTGCGTAAAGCTTTCGATACTGTCAACCACCAAAACCTTCTTCTTAAATTACATCATTATGGTGTCAGAGGACACTCCCTACAATACCTCAAATCCTACCTTACTGACAGGCTCCAATGTGTTTCTGTGAATAATACAATTTCGCCCACCCTACCCATCAACATTGGTGTTCCCCAGGGCAGCATACTTACAATACAATTTACAATACAATACAATACAATTTTATTTAGGTAAGGTACATACATACAATAAATATTTACAAGGATTGTTTAACTTATAGGTATAGCTAGTACATACAATGCCTAAAGCCACTATTACGCAAAGCGTTTCGGGCATGATAAACTTAAATGACAAGCTTAATACTAATTGAGCATAATGAGTAGAATGAAAACAAGAAATGAAAACATAGATGAAAAAGCAGCACAAATACAATTATGTCGACAAACAGCGCTCTTTAAAGAAAAAAACAGACATTGGTTGACAATAGAAGGGTAAGGTAGGTTACAGGGAATTTATTAGGTATAGCTTCGCTTTTAACTTAAAATACTTGGCCCTCTCCTCTTTCTCATCTACATTAATGACCTTCCAAATGCCTCCCAACACCTCAAACCAATCCTATTTGCTGACGACACAACCTTCATTTACTCCAGTCCTGATCCCCTTGCTCTAAATGCCACAGTAAATACTGAGCTAAATAAAGTCCATCTGTGGCTAACTGCCAACAAACTCACCCTTAACATTGACAAAACTTTCTATATTCTGTTTGGCAATAAATCCTCTAATCAAATAAATCTCAAAATAAACAATACCCAAATTTGTAACAAATTAGATGGCAAATTCCTTGGCATTCTCATTGACCACAAGCTGAATTTCCAGGGACACATTCTAAACATATCAAAAAAAGTTTCAAAAACTGTGGGCATTCTTTCTAAGATCAGATATTATGTACCACGCCCTGCCCTGGTGACTCTCTATTACTCCCTTATCTATCCATATCTCAACTATGGTATTTGTGCTTGGGGCTCTACTACCCAAAATCACTTACGTCCTCTAATTACTCAACACAAAGCTGCTATTAGGACAATATCCAATTCTGGCCCCAGACATCACTCGGTACCCCTATTCAAATCCCTGAATATGTTAGACATTAAGTCACTGCACATTCTCTCATGTGTACTATACATATACAAAACGCTAAATTGTAATGCCAATCCTGATCTCAAAAGCTTCATAGAAGGTTGTAACAGAACCCATGAGCACCACACCAGAAATAAATACAGTTTTGATATTCCTAGAGTACGACTTAATCAAACCAGAAATGCTCTACAAATCAAGGGGCCCAGGATGTGGAATGACCTTCCCAACCATGTTAAAGACAGTACCTCTCTCAACCAGTTTAAGTTAAAAACGAAGCTATACCTAATAAATTCCCTGTAACCTACCTTACCTCTCTATTGTCAACCCATGTATGTTTTTTTTTGTTTTGCTTTGTTTTACAATTCAACGCTGTTTTAATGTAATTTTCTGTAATAATTTGTAATTGTATTTGTGCTGTTTTTTCAACAATGTTCCCCCCTCTTTTACCTCTATTTTTATTTGTACTCAACGCTTTTTTTTCTTTTTACCCATTAGTTTTAAGCTTTAGTCAGTAGTGTTTTTTCCTGCCCGAAACGCTTTGCGTAATAGTGGCTTTAGGCATTGTATGTACTAGCTCTTATCTATAAAGCCAACAAACTTTGTAAAATCTCTTTATGTATGTACCTTTGCCTAAATAAAAATTATTATTATTATTATTATTATTATTATTATTAATGACTGGTTTGTAGTTGAATGGTTCCCGTCTCCCTCCGTTTTTATACACTGGGACTAAATTTTATTTTGTCTATACATCTGACAATCTGTTCATTCTCTGACATTTTGGCAATCTCTTTTTTTACAAGTAAGTCAGTAAGAGTAAGTCCACCGTCTCTCTCACCTCTCTCTCTTCTGCCCTCATAGTTACCGACACATGCATGTACTCAAGAGGTTAGCTCTGCAGTTTGTAGAACATCATCTGTGTCTTGTATTCTGTAGCACATCATCTGTTTTGTTTATATTGCTTAAATATACGTCAGCAACACCTGTAGTCACCATCACTATTATTATCCACATAATATAATAATGATAATATTTTATTTAGGAAAAGTACATACATAGATGCAGAGTTACAAGCATACTGTTGGATTTATAGATAGAGTTAGTACATGCAATACCTAAAGCCACTAATACGCCTAGCATTTCGGGCAAGGTGTGGAGGAAAAACACTTAGACTAAAACTTAATAGTAATTGGGAGTAAAGTATAAATTGTGTAGAAAAAAGGAATAAAAAAAGGGGGGGAACATGACAAACATCAGCAATTGTACAAGTAGGTCAACAAATAACATTGTTTAGAATAGTAAGACATGTGTTGACATTTAGGGGGTAAGGTAGGTTACATAGAGTTAATTAGGTAGTACTTAGTTCTACTCCTAAACTGGTTGAGAGAAGTACAGACTTTGACATAATTAGGGAGGTCATTCCACATTCTGGGTCCCTTGAGCTGTAGAGCATTTCTAGTTTGGTTAAGTCACACTCTTGGAATATCAAATGGGTATTTGTTTCTGGCGTGGGTCCTGTTACAACCTTCTAGGAAACTTTTAAGGTCAGGATTAACATTGCAGTTCAGAGTTTTAAATATATAGAGTACACATGAGAGGATGTGCAGTGACTTAATATCTAACATATTCAAAAATTTGAGTAAGAGTACCGAGTGTTGTCTGGGGCCAGAGTTAGATATTGTTCTAATAGCAGCTTTTGTGTTGAGTAATTAGAGGACGTAAATGATTTTGAGTAGTAGAACCCCAAGCACAAATACCGTAATTGTGGTAAGGATAGATGAAAGTGCAGGGCGAGGTAAAAAATATCTGATCTTAGAAAGAATGCCAACAGTTTTAGAAACTTTTTTTTATATATTTAGAATGTGTCCCTGGAAATTCAGCTTGTTATCGATGAGAACACCAAGGAATTTGCCAAGGAACTCTATTATTTATTTGGGTATTGTTTATTCTTAGATTAATTTGATTTGAGGGTTTATTACCAAACAAAATATAGAAAGTTTCGTCAATGTTAAGGGTGAGTTTGTTAGCAGTTAGCCAAAGATCGACTTTATTTAGTTCAGTATTCACTGTGACATTTAGGGCAAAAGGGTCAGGACTGGGGAAAATGAATGTTGTGTCATCAGCAAATAGAATTGGTTTGAGGTGTTGAGAGGCATGTGGAAGGTCATTAATGTATATGAGAAAGAGAAGAGGGCCAAGTATGCTGCCCTGAGGAACACCAATGTTGATGGGTAGGGTGGGAGAAATGGAATTATTCACAGAAACATACTGGAGCCTGTCAGTAAGGTAAGATTTGAGGTATTGCAGGAAGTGTCCTCTGACTCCATAATGATGTAACTTAAGAAGAAGGTTTTGGTGGTTGCCAGTGTCAAAAGCCTTCCGTAGGTCAACAAATAACCCAACAGGGAACTCATTTTTATCAAGAGCTGCATGTATCAAGTTAATCATAATAATAAGTGCATCGTTAGTGCTTGTCTTGGGTCTGAAGCCATATTGGCAAAAACTAAGTATATTGTATTTGTCTAGATGAGAGTAGAGCTGCTTGTAGATTAGTTTTTCGAATATTTTTGACAAATTTGGCAGAATTGATATAGGTCTGAAGTTGTTGAATCAGTGAGATCACCACATTTATGGACTGGGGTTACTCTCGTTCTTTTTAGAATATCTGGAAAGGTGCGGAGTTCATGTGACTTGCTGTAGAGCAATGCAATGGCTGGAGCTAAAAATCTGGAGGCTTTTTTGTAAATTAGAGTTGGTATCTCAGTAAGGGCACTAGGATTTGTTTTAAAGGAAAGGATTATCTCATTAACATCAGTGGAGTTGGCGGGCGTTAGGCACCCAAATGTTCTTGGTCGTCAGCAACACCTGTAGTCACCATATACCATTGCTACCAGTAATATTTAGTGCGACTAGTATTTTATTTTTATTTTATTTTTATAATAATCCATATAATATAATAATTCATATATACAAGAATTCTTACATTCTTATGTAGCCACTAGCACGCATAGCGTTTCGGGCAGGTCCGTAATGTTAATTTTCTCTGGAAAACGACCCGCCAAATAGTTTAACAACCATTCACTGCTGGCTGATCTGAGGCGTACAGCTAAGGATTGGCGCCTAGTCAATCCTTCCCGGCCAGGATACAAACCCAGGCCAAATCGCTTGTGAAGCGCTGGACGAGTGCCTTACCACTGACCCATGGGGTCTACTTTATATTTTACATTGAAGCTGTCATAATTTTGTGTAGTTTATATTAACACTATTGTCATATTAATGTTTAACTTCCAGGAATTGCATAATCAATTGTTTGTATATCCAGTTCAACATGTGTTATATGAGGCTAGCGCTCTGGGCACCCAAAACATACTACAATGTTCATGTAGGGAATTTCTGGCTAAATTCAGCACTGATAAGTTTAGTTAATATTGTTTTAACATTTTACTGCCTAAATTGTATTTAATATTATTATTATTTCTTACTTATATTATTATTTTAAGTATTAATTTATAAACTAATTTTAACAGGAATTCTCTCTCGTTGGCATAAGATAATATTTATGCCCGAAACGCTTTGCGTAATAGTGGCTTTAGGCATTGTATGTACTAGCTCTACCTATAAGTCAAACAATCCTTGTAAATATTTATTGTATGTATGTACCTTACCTAAATAAAATTGTATTGTATTGTATTGTATTGTATTTGTCTTCATCTGCAGACTTGGACTGAGCGTGCTCATGCCGGTCAAGTTGATCCTTGCATACCCAACTGTTCTGCCGTCGATAATGGTGACAAGGTGCCTGATCCCACAAACTGTCTTCAGTTTTACTTCTGTGTGAGTCAAGAACCTACTCCAGAAGCCTTCCCCTGTGACGACGGCATGGTGTTTGACAGTGCCACGAGTGAATGTGTTGTTGGAGACACATGTACCAACATCTGCAGCGCGTGTTCTTACGAGTGTCCTGACAGCCCTGACAAGCCTAAATACTTTGCTGACCGTTATGACTGTAACATTTATTATGACTGTGGTTTAGAAACTCAACATTCATGTCCTGATGACAAGCAGTTCTTTGATGGATCTGTATGTCAGTCAGATGAGTCGAACTGCTGCAGCTGTAAGCCATTCTGTTCAGGAAGTGATTTATATAAATATGTAATAGATCCTACGAACTGCAAGCAATATTTCTTCTGTGACAAGGAGGGCATCCCAGAGTTTTCCACTGAATGTGCGAGTGGGAACTTTGATATTACAAGCGGGAAATGTTCTGACACTGCCCCCTGCATTACTCTTTGTACCAACGTTGTGGGACCGGACGGATGCATCGACAGATACACCTGTGAAGTGCTTGGTAACCACGCGAAGTGTCCACAGAGATGCGACCCGCACTACTACTACTGCAATGGTTATAACCTCGGTCAGGTCGTTACAGCTTCCAGTTGTGCCAGCGGACTATACTACCACCCGGACACAAATTCGTGTGTGTATCAGCAGTACTGTCCGTACCCATTCCCTGGAGAGTAGTAATATAACTATATATATCTATATGCTATATCTATATGCTATAATATATCTATATGCTACATTTATCTGGCCATCTAACTGGTCGGGGGGTTTACCTGCCATGGGTATTCCCACATTAGAGCGGTTTACTACATAATTAGTCAGCATATGTATAAGTATGAAAACACACACACTAATAAAAGTGGAGCAACTTTACTTGGATTTCAAAAATATCTTTAAAAATTTTCAAAGAAAAATGTAAATCTTATAAAACGCACAGTTAAATAAGCTGTTAAAATTAGGATAATAGTCACATTAAATAGTAAACCAAGAAAATGAGAGAAATTACAACTAACCAAATTACAATGTCACAAAAAGCACAGACAAATCAAAGGAATAGAATACTGCACAAAACTTTATTTTGTGAAACAAAGAAATTATACTGGGTTTTGTAGTGTGGGACGACAAAATTGTTATTTTGTTATAACAATCGACACTGATTGTTATAACAAAATAACAATCAGTGTTCGAAGACCTCGTCCAGCTCTTCGGAGGTCGGGTGCGTACCCAAGGTACTGCACGCATTTTCCCTCTGAACTGCGACACTGAGGCGCTGAAACAGGAAAGTGGCCGCTCTTGATTCTTTAGTTTTCCCAATGAGGTCCTCACCCACCTCCTTTAGGAACTTAAGTGCACATTTACCCCAGGCGTCCAGAGTCTCAGAGCCTATCGGCACGAACCTGTAACAACGTTCTAGGTCCCTGTACTTGTTGGTTTTCTGGGTCTCATTGAAGGTGGCTGCCCCGCCTCCCTCAACTGTGCTGTAAGGTAGATAGGTATCAGTCAATGTAGACGCACACGTGTAATCCCATACGACCTGTTTACCTTCCCTCCACGGCTGCTGGGTGACTTGATCTGGGTGTTTTTGGCTGTTGTCAGGTCTGCACAACTGAGGTTCCCTTTGTGCTGGACATCCAGCTGTAGCCAAACCTCTCTTGATGATGTCATTGACTGCTTCATGTCTGGAAATCTTTCCTCTGTGACTTACGACAGATGAGACCGCAGCTGTCTTATTGGTCCACCCGTACATAGCTACAAATACACTGGTGTTCGGTGGAGATAGGGGCGGCAAGGCGCAGGGCAACACCAATACTTAGGGCTCGATGGTCCAGGTGGGTGCCCAAGGCGGAATTAGGGACTGCCAGCAGGAAGTCCCGCACATGAGGAGCTTGAACAGCTAGAAGAGAAGGTACAAAATGAAGCCATGAGAAGAATCTTAGGATCCCAAGAAATGATATGATTGAGATAACGAGGATGGAATTGAATTTGAAAAATATTGGGATAGTATTTCAGAGATAAATGTAACCTCTGCCATTAGATTAATGAGAGGTAGGGGAGCTAATGAATTAATCCTCTCAGTTCAAAAGGTGGGAAGTAATGAACAATGTGTGATAAAGTATAATAAGAGAGCATATATGAGTACATTATGTTCTGTTATAAAGTATGATGTTATTCCAGAATGTATTACTTTGCCTATGAGACAATTCACACCACCATGAGAAGATTGTAACGTAGATGTAGTAATTATTCCCCTGCAAGAGAAAAATATATGTGTACGAGATTGGAGAGCTGAGGGCAACATGATTGTATTATTAGAAAATTACCTACAGCAAACTCTCTCTAACTGTAATGTGATCAGACAGTAGCTAGGGATAGAAAGGCAGGATGTGGAGTCTTGATTAGGGAGTACACTGACATCGGCACTGTAGATACTGATATTGGACGCCGCTTAACTGACAATATCTCCCCATTGCTCACAGGAGACATCTCCCGTCACGCAGGGTGCAGTCGCGCCTCTACAGATCTCCAGTATCAGCTCTTGATACTGGAAATGGCTCAAAAGAGCCACCACTTACGAGCTATTCATGCCCGTGCCACCTTTTGGGTGGCTTAATCTTCATCTTCGTCTTCTTCCTCAATGCAGGCAGAACTTCAACGTGTATTAGCAGGATTACAGGAAGTCATATGTGGTAAAAATGCCTATTTCTTTATAGGCATTAGAGGAGCGTTGGAGTCTTTAAATAGCAGGCGATCAGTATACCAGAATATTGTGATCGAGTGTAGAGAGAATGTTAAGACATTAGAAAAAAATGGATATAAAGTAAGATTCATGTGAATCCCTTCACATGTGGGAATACTGTTGAATGAAGCAGCTGATGAGGTAGCGAAGAAAGCCACGAAAAAAACTCTTGTCGATGTTGTATGTCAGACAACTTTTAAAACAAATAATGACAAGTATCAAGATGATCCAAAAGGTTGAAGAGAAAGTTAAGAGAATGCCAATGGTGGGGAACAGTAACACACTTAAGAATTAGGAAATAATAAATACAAATTCGTCCTTCACTTATGGTAGAGAAAAGTTTAAATAGGAGCTGCCTCGCAAGGGCCAATAGGCCTTTTGCAGTTACCTTCATACTTATGTTCTTAACACCCTATTAATATTCCCTCTATTGTGTCCGTTCAACTACTTGTATAGCTCTTTAATCTCACCCCGAATTCTTCGCCTTTCTAGAGAATGCGAATTAGTCTTAGTAAATTTTTCTTCATATGACATGTTTCTGATTTGCTGGATTAACTTTGTTATCCTACGTTGGACGTGTTCTCCTGAATTTATATCAGTAAACGTAAATTTCAACTTGTTGTAAATATTATTATAGGTTGTTGGCTATATATTTAGTCTACTCATGCACATGTATAAACATACATGTCTTGTATAGTCTACTCATGCACATGTATAAACATACATGTCTTGTATAGTCTACTCATGCACATGTATAAACATACATGTCTTGTATAGTCTACTCATGCACATGTATAAACATACATGTCTTGTATAGTCTACTCATGCACATGTATAAACATACATGTCTTGTATAGTCTACTCATGCACATGTATAAACATACATGTCTTGTATTGTCAGTTTAACTTTATTCTTATGAATATATACACACATAAATCACAATAGCGTGATGCATCAATTAAACAAATCCACAAGGTCATTGATGAGGGGTTCGAACTTACGCCCGGGATGATCCTAGACGCTGCCTTTGTCGACTTTACTCTTATGTTTTTAAACGTTTGAATATTTATTAGCATAGAAAAAATACAAAGAAACAAGTTCCATCATCGAGCAACCTTCGTCACCTGAGGTAGCAGCTATATAACCCTGGGCCGCCGCGGGTTGGCTCATTACTCATTAAGCTCGCAGACTACGAGGTTGGTCACAATCAGTACAACCATAGCAGTCACTCTCACTACCACCTGTGTTCCCTTACCAACACCACTCCTCACCACCAATCACCAGATATATTCAACTACAACCACCACCGCATCAACTAGTTTCACCAGCCGTGTTCCAGATACTTTCTGAAACACTGGCACGTGTCGGAAAGACGTTTTATAAAGTGGTCACGTAACTACATATTCTTGTGTGTTTTCCATCATGAGTCAACAGTCTAAGAAGGATTTAGATGTTACGAATTGCAGCCGTGGGCTGTGGCTGGTCAAGGTACCTAAATATTTGGGGGACAAATGGGCAAACTGTGCTGGCCATGACGTTGGGAAGCTTAAGATTACCAGGGTTCCTGGTGAACGTCCAACAATAACCTTTAAGTCAAGCGAACACACCATGAAGGACGGCAAAATTCCTCGGGAGCACAAGGTAATCTCTCATAGTCTTAAGAAAATGACACTCGGAGTTCTTTCTCAACCAGATCCTGGCAGTAGCTCGGCTGCTGCAGCTCCCGAGACACAGCAATTGTACTTGGAGGGACAAGTCATCCACAAACTAGAATGTCAGCCTGTAGTGGACGACTACTATATCAATCAGAAAAAGGAAGCTGTGAAGAAAGCTGCCAAGCCTCTTCACACGGTAAAGCTTATTGACAGACCCTTCAATGTCTATAAGCCTATATCACATCATAAACAAAATGTTCATTTAGAACAGAAGAAGAAGGCAGCAGGCAAGATGATTCGTGATGATAAGGATAAGGTCATGGAGTTGTTGTTTGCTGCATTTGAAAAGCATCAGTATTACAATATTAAGGATCTCCACAAGATTACCCGACAACCAATCACATATCTAAAGGAGATCCTGAAGGAACTATGTGACTATAATGTTAAACATCCACACAAAAATATGTGGGAACTCAAGCCTGAGTACCGTCATTATAAGACTGACGAAAAGGCTGTGGAAAATTCAGTGAGTGATTAGGGTCATACTACACTTTGTTTCACAGTACAAGGGTAAAGAAAACGTTGTGAAAGATGCAGGTAGTCATTAGGCTCATACTTCATGTCTAAGGTTGTGATCTACCTAGCGGTGCTTGTGCAGCTGGCCACTGCCCTTTACTACAAGGGTCTGTCCCGTCTCCCAGACTGTGCAGTTCTAGGACGAGAGGCAGAATGTCACAGATCGAGGTGTTGCAAGCGTCGTTGCCCATCAACCAGGTCATCCTCAACACCGTGTTCCAGACCAATGTTGTTCCCGTGACCAGCGTCACAGTCCAGAAGGTGACGGTACCAGCCCTGCAGCTGGTAATGATTGACGTGCAGCTGTTGGAGGTAACTAAGCCCCTGACGGTGATGAACGTCGACACTGTCACCACCATACTTGTGGAAACGCAGCTGAACAACCTCACCAGCACCGCCTTTAACTTACTTTTGGGACATCCTGAATATATCACATGTTCTATGTATCAATATCACGTGTTCAATGTACCAATATCACATGTTTGATGTATCAATATCACATAAATAAATACTTGTGGAACCTCTTCTTGCTTAGCTCATTTTAGTTCAAAAGTTTTGAATTAGAACATAAGAAAGAAGGAAAATCGCTGCTCACGGTGATCTGTTGACGAAATAAGGCAAATAGGACATTGAGATTTATTTATTGAAGCTTTAGTATAAAGCGAGTAGATTATCCCAATATTATACTCGCTCCAAAAGTAATAAAACACTTGGTGTTATTCTTCAGCTATATCTGGCTCTGGGTAGGCTCCATTTAGATCATGCAGTTCAGTTTTGATCGATGTACCATATGTCGGAAGTTTCTGACACCCAAATTATTACCCCTGCCCCCACAAGATAAATTTGTAGCGAGTAATCCTTATACTCGCTCCATTATCTCATTATCTTAATAGCATAACTAATTAGCACTAATTACAGAAGCTACAATCCTTTCCCCAATTACAGGTAATACTCTTCTCACTTTGTTGGAGGGAGATGAGGTGTAATCACCATAGTATATGCAAGCAATTTGATGAATATCGAACAGTACAATCTCCAGTCAAGAATGTAGTACTCGGCTTGGGCAGTTCTAATCGACCCAAGACGCTACAGCTTCGACACAGACCAGACAGCAGACTACGACCGCACCCAGCGGTCGTAGTCGTAGTAAAATAATATGGTGTGAATAGCTGATAGTTTACAGTAAAATATGGAAAAAAATGCACAATTTACCAGTTTTTGCTTATTATACTAATATACACTTCTCATTAAATAATCACTGCTGTTATCTTTTAATGTAGATCAATGAACAAAATAACTTCATGAATCAATGCTTAAATGAAAAGGCAACTTGGTCATTGAACATTAATAGGTAATTTAATTTACTGGTGTTAAGTTGAAGGTTCTTCAGCAACTTGGTTATTAGAACATTAAGATCAAAGTTAAGTCCACTATAAGCCTTTACCCAGGGCAATGACTAGTTAAGATTGGTCTATACAAAATAGAAGAGTTTACCAACATCACAATAACATAGAGATGTTATGTTATACAGAACAAGAATGAGAAGTCATTGATTAATAATACCTTATTGCCAATACCTTTTGCAAAGTAATTTTGGAATTCAATTATTATTCTCGCATTACATTTCATACTATTCATATTCATACTATACTATTATACTATACATACTATACTATTCATAAGAACATAAGAATAAAGGTAACTGCAGGTGGCCTACTGGCCCATACGAGGCAGCTCCTATTTTACTGTACCCCATAAATTTTAAATTTAAATAAATTCTTAAATTCTGACCAAGATCAATTTTTGCCATGCTTAAGCCATATTTAATTATGTACATAATCAACTTTTCTTTACAAATTTTTTGATAATTTTAATTGTATTTGTTCATAAAATTTTAAGTATTTGCAATCTTCTGCACAATTTGCTTTAAATTGCATCAGTGCTAATACATTACTTATGAATCAACACTTAATTGTCAGGGGACAGGCAGCCTTTATTAACACACACTTCATGTTAGACTTATATCAAGGTTACCCTCAGGGGCAAATTACTGACCTTCCCAAGGATGCAATGCCACAACAAGCTGACCAACTTCCTGGTACATGTTTATTACTAGGTGGACAGAGGCATTGAGCGATAGTTACATGCATCCAACCATTTCTGTCCCACCAGGGACTTGAACCCGGAATTCTTGATTGCGAGTCGAGAACGAACCCAACTGTAATTCCAGGACCCTAACACGATTCCAGTACCATTAAAAGTTAAACATTGTGCTCATTCACAAAGCCATTATAACTATGCTATTATCACAGCAACAACAGCTATATTTTTGCAAGGAAAACACTGGTTACATGTATAGCAGATTTATTTAATACAATGTGTTAACGTTTTACTGTATTTCATAAATGAATGCTCAATACCAAATACTTGTCAATCCACCTGTACAATATATACCTTAAATAACATAAAAGCAAGGTATAATGAAGACAAGTGTCATTATCTCGGTCTCACAAAATGCTATTTGTACAACTCTCTTGTGATTGTGTATTTGTAAACTTCACAATGTTAGCATTATAACCTTACTGTTGGTTCTCAAAAGCTCTCTATCGTCCAATCCTGTCAAAGGAATGTTTATCCTATGAATAGGTTACCTTGGCTATTAGATATATATTTGCTAATATATTATCTCGTTTTTCTCATTATACAGCGGGCATATGAAGCCTCCATAAACACCAAAGCTTTTACATAAATCTGTAAATTTTGCTACAGCATATGGACACCTGAATCAAATAAATATCACACACACACACCCACACATTAATATTCTCTTTCTCTTCCACACTGCTTCACACATGCACAAGTGTGAATATGCATGCATGAGATGCTCAGGTATGGACATGCACAAGTGTGAGTATGCATGCATGAGATGCTCAGGTATGGACATGCACAAGTGTGAATATGCATGCACGAGATGGTCAGGTATGGACAAAATACACCAAAACAAGTTGTTAAACATAAGAGAGAACAGACTGAGGATGATGCAAATGGAACCTAAATGTCTAAATGAACCAGTGAAATAAAAATTTAATTTTGTCAGTTAATTAGCAGATTCCCTATTAAATGTCTGAAGAATAACAACTATAAGAGTTAAATCAAGATTGAGAGGCAGGATCCAAGACTTCAAGCTCAACATTTCCAAACAAAGACAAATATACACTCACACACATTCTTCCTATACAGCTGTAAATGTACAAATGACAGACCAAGCACAATTAGGGCAGTGCGTTTAAAAATTAATTCACACTTACGCTCAAAATATACACATACATTAAAAAAATAAAAATAGTCTTCAACATTAAAAAAAAAAAAAAAAGTAATTCTTCAGATTATACACTACCTATTTGTGATGAAAAAAAGAAAGGAGTAAGCAGCACCAACCTTGAACCACACCTTCAAGCATATAATAATGTTCAAGAAGGTCCAGAGCTTTGCAACAAGACTAGTCCCTGAGATAAAGGACCCGAGGAATGAAGACTAGCTGTGAAAACTAGATCTCTCAATGTCAGGAAGATGAAAATGCAGTGTGAAGAGAGAGTGGGGAGAAAATAGAATCTAAACACCCCAAATTAATTAGCGGGGCACAGGAAAAACTTAAGCAAAACAGCACTAAGACAAGGAACTTCTTCAGCACAAAAGTAATAAGTGTAACACACTGGGAAAATAAGAAATGCACTAAGCACTAAGACAAGGAACTTCTTCAGCACAAAAGTAATAAGTGTAACACACTGGGAAAATAAGAAATGCAGGTTAACTCCATATGTGAATTCAAATACAAAAGAAATGAGAATCACAAGTCAATTAAAAATTGATAGACAATATTCATGAATGTAGTTCAATTCCTACAAGGAAATGAAATACACAGCAATAATTTTAATGATGATTACATACTAATCAATACTGTACATTTAAACTCGCTAAATGACACTTCCACCTGATGTACATCTTCTTGATATGCGGGCACCCATTGGTTTAGATATTTTTACAACCGTCTCGATGGTTCAGATGCCAGCATTTTGGCAATCTTACTCCATCAAGCAAACAAAGACACAGAGCACAGTTCAAAAACCTTGTCTTTTTTTTTTAAACTGCACCCAGGTATACTTAATGTCATTAATAAGCATTTTCCAGCTCTTACTTCTGTGTCATATTTCAGTTTACCTAAACCAACATGAGTTCCAAAGGGGCATTAACCCTTTAACTGCGCAACGCGCCTGCAGGCCCAGGCTTCAGGTGCGCAACGAGCCTCCGGGTGTTTTTATTTTTCACGTTCCATTCAAAACTCCCGCAGCTACATGGGATTCACATCAGCTTCCTCAGGGCTCTTGTAAACAGACGCCATCTTTAACAAAAATCATGGTCCACATTGCCGGGTGTGAGAGCCTCAGTAGTGAGTGAGCAACCAAGGCTGGCGCTCGCAGCATGAGCGCACAGCTCTGCTGTTCAGCGTGTGACCACAGCATCGCCTAATAATGTCAAAATTTACATATAACCTGTATTATTTAGCCATGATAGTATTATAGAAGAGCCCGAGTGTGATAATGACTGGGTACAATGTTCAAATATCAGTGATTCAATGCTGTTCACGATGTTCACAGCGCTAGCCACAGCACCACAGCATTATTTCGTCCATCTAGGAATCTTCAAACGACTTCTTAGGTTCCTTTTCAAAATAAACTTGTGGTCAATTATTCATTTACAGAAATTAGTGACCAGGATTGTGGTTATAATTAACATTGTGTGTAGTATTGTGGAAGGAGGAATTTTGGTGAGGGATGGAGGGAGAGAATTGAGATAGCCTCACTGTGTGGCAGCCACTCTTGTTTTGCTCACCATACTAGCTTCGTGGTTTGCTATGGGGAACACACATGTACATGGTTATATACAGTGTGTGTGTGTGTATATAGTGTAATAACAGCAACAGGGGTATGTTGAGTGGAGCTATGCTGGTGAGGGAGGTGACGTCGTAATCGTAGAGTCGTCTACTGTCTGCTGTGTGATGTGTGATTTCTCATGCAGTGTATGGTGGCCACTGTACTGTTTGGACACAATACCGGCTTACTTGCATAGTTCTGGTAAATAAAACATGTAGATAAGTATATATAACATGTGTAAATAGTGTAATAAAAACAATAACAGTATGGTGGGAGGAGCAATGTTTGCAATTAAGATCTTGGAGTGAGGGAGGGCCTGTCTGGGTGTGGCTGTTCACACTCGCGATGATCTGAATGTGTTGATGGTAAATGTATATAGTGTGTGACAGTGTATAGTATGTACATATGTTGTAAATATACATATATGAACATGAAACATTGGTGTGAATAACTGTATGATGGTAGAAGCAATGTTGGCGAATACAATGTTGGAGGAGTGAGTGAGGGCTGGCTGGGTATGGCTGCTCACACTCGCGGTGTTCTGAATGTGTCGATGGTAAATGTATATAGTGTGTGACAGTGTATAGTCTGTAAATAGATTGTATACATACATAAATTAGCATGATACATGGTAAATATGTGCAACATGTGTACACAAGTGTCATGCACGTAACACAGTGTCCTTGGACAGTACGGATGGATGTTTTACTGCCATAATATAGTGTACATGTTCATTATACATAGGATTAGCACATGAAAACAAATAAAATGTATTTGGAACTGTGAGCAAAAAATGAACAAAAATACTGTATACAGTATTCGCAGCAACTCGAGCACCCAACCGGCCCCGGGAGCTTACTGCACGGGCACACAGGGAATGATGACATTACGCGCCACCTTACAGACCCCATTGCAACCAAAGTAAGTACAACTTCGAAATTCCGTTGCTATACCCATATACAGGGAGGGTTTTTTGACACTTTCAGAACAAAAAAAAAAAAAAATTCCCGAGAATTTATTTCTTGTGCACTGGGGGGGGGGGGGGGGTGTCATATTTATAGGCCGTGCAGTTAAAGGGTTAAGTGATAAGGATTACAGCAGTGAAATGACCAAGAGGCTTTAAACAGTTATTTTTCAGCAGATAATCTACCCATTTGAGACCATTTACCATATGTTCTCAACTTGCTGGATAAGGAACTAACACGTGCTGGGTGTATGGATTTTATCACTGCTTCTAGATTAACTCAATGGCAAACATTTTGTAATTTTCCAGTTTTTTGTTTATTGTATTACTATCTATGTAGGCCACTGGTGCACCTAGTGCCTCCATGTTTATTGAAGTACAAATTAGCAATTTATCTTGATCTTTTCTAGGTATACTGTATTTTAAAACTCAACAGTTTTGGCACATGTACTGTGTATTCGGAAAACAATCTAGCAACATCTCCAATTACATAATGAGCATCTTAAAGAAATGTTTCTATATGTAAAAAATTTTGAAAACACTGCCATTAGGTGAGAATTACTTGGAGGTAATAACATATGAATAGGCACACATGCACACACGGACACAAATAGATACTTACATAATACTCATCCTCAAATGTGCAAAGTTTATATCACCCTCCCTTCCCCTTCCTGCCACACACACACACAATCATCTGGGAGGGGAAATCCTGCAAGAGTCAAATAGAAGGATCTGGGGGTTGATATCACACCGAACCTGTCCCCAGAGGCCCACATCAAAAGAATATCATCAGCGGCATATGCTAGACTGGCCAACATAAGAACTGCCTTCAGAAACTTGTGTAAGGAATCTTTCAGAACCCTATATACCACTTATGTAAGACCAATCCTGGAGTATGCAGCTCCTGCCTGGAGTCCATACACAAGACAAAGTTAGAGAAGATTCAGCGGTATGCCACCAGGCTCGTCCCGGAACTGAGAGGATTGAGCTACGAGGAAAGGCTAAAGGAGCTGAACCTCACATCCCTGGAAAACAGAAGAATAAGGGGAGACATGATAACCACCTACAAAATTCTCAGGGAAATTAACAGGGTGGACAAAGACAAACTCCTCAGCACGGGTGGGACACAAACAAAGGGACACAGGTGGAAACTTAGTACCCAGATGAGCCACAGAGACGTCAGAAAGAATTTTTTCAGTGTCAGAGTAGTTAATAAATGGAATGCACTAGGAAGTGATGTGGTGGAGGCTACTCCATACACAGTTTCAAATGTAGATATGATGTATGTAGATATGAGCCCAGTAGCCTCAGGAATCTGTACACCAGTTGATTGACAGTTGAGAGGCGGGACCAAAGAGCCAAAGCTCAACCCCCGCAAGCACAATTAGGTGAGTACACACACACACACACACACACACACACTTTTTCTTTGCTTGTCCTCTTCAATTTCCTCTCAGATCCTACATTGCTGTAAAATATGTCAGCTTTTTAATTTACATTATAACAGTAATAGACTTGGCACTGCGATGTAGTCAATCATGTAATATTTCTTTAAGGCTTCCCATTTTATATAAAATATGGTTCTGTCAAATATTATTACAAGTGGTTATTTTAAACACAAACTCAATAACAGTTCTCTATATTGTGCAATCTTTCAAATTCATTACATTTTGAAGCAATAAAACATTAATTTTAGTGATTATTTAAGCTCCTTACAATTTATAATGTATTTTTGGGCAAATTTTAACTTTAACATCCACCATCCACATTTGGACACTTCCTGAAATCCTGTTCTTAGAAGATGAGGAATAAAATGCTAGCTAGAGAGTAAAAGTGTGTGTGTAGTCATATTCAATCGTTGGAATGATGGCTTGGACAAATTTGAGAAAGACAATAAGATACAGATGAACACCCAGCTCCCCGCCTCCCTCCAACACCGTTTCACAGATCTTCTTCATCGTTTCTGCATGCCTGTTGATGAAATATATAATGCACTTATACAGTATACATGTAAATCGTACGTAAATTAATACAAATGAAAGTTACTATTTATGTACAACATAACTTGGCTTTATCTTGAAATAATTGTATGTGTATTCCTTTGGAGATCCTGTCATTGCAGATATCAGGAAATTTACACTTTCAGATAATATTTGTTACTATTTTAGATATGATAAGAGAATGGTCCAATCAGATGAAGGAGATTCAAGCTAAATGAATTGCAGGAAGATCAGGTACACATTCTTCTAACGTACAAGGTAACAACAGATAAATTCAATTCAATCAATGTAGTGTCAAAGTTCTGTATACTGTCAATGCCCTATAATCCATATTATATGCATGTCCAAAAATGAAGAAATTCTAATTTACTTGGGTTCTTGCTCAGCAGAGCTAACCCAATTTTTGTTTTCAAATTAAGAAGTCAAAAACTCTCATTTGTATTTTTCCATTTGGCAGAAATTCCAATAATTCAAATATTATTTGAATTACTGAATTATTTGAATTAGCTCAAAAGGTCAAAACCTTTAACAAACGCATTCAGAGCATGCAGGCAGACAACCGGACCGGCGCGCAGGCACACAACCGGGCCGGCGCGCAGCCACACAACCGGGCCGGCGCGCAGCCACACAACTGGGCCGGCGCGCAGCCACACAACCGGGCCGGCGCGCAGCCACACAACCGGGCCGGCGCGCAGGCACACAACCGGGCCGGCGCGCAGCCACACAACCGGGCCGGCGCGCAGCCACACAACCGGGCCGGCGCGCAGCCACACAACCGGGCCGGCGCGCAGCCACACAACCGGGCCGGCGCGCAGCCACACAACCGGGCCGGCGCGCAGCCACACAACCGGGCCGGCGCGCAGGCACACAACCGGGCTGGCGCGCAGCCACACAACCGGGCCGGCGCGCAGCCACACAACCGGGCCGGCGCGCAGGCACACAACCGGGCCGGTGCGCAGGCACACAACCGGGCCGGCAATAGAATGGAGTTAAATAAAATTACTGTAATTATCCTATTTATTACAGGCAGTCCTTAACTTACGAGCTGGATGTATTATGAAAAGATATTCGTAAATTGGCTGTTCGTATGTGTGAACAACATTTCTCATAAGCAAAAGTACATTAATTGGGGAATGCAATCTCAGACCACAAAAAATAAATAAAAACCAAACTTTTAGAACAAATAATATAGGAAACACTACTTTTTATTTACTTTGAAAGTGGAATTGTTCTACTTAACTGATTTAATGCTTTTTGAAGAGCAACAAGGTATAATTACTAGAGGAGGAGGCAGTAATACGTTATGATGAAAAGGCACCTGTAAACCACCTACTCTCCATCTTAACTACTGTATTAGTGAGGCACTTTTCCTTGGTAAACAGATGAAATATGCATTTTAAGCACTGTCACATGTGGAATTTAGAATAAGTTTGTTTAATAGGACATGGGGCTAAACTGTGGATTTAGAAGCAGTAGTAGTCATATGTTCTCATGTTAGGGAAAGCCTGTAATGAACTCTAAGAACTAACCTGCTGTCATCAATAAAGATTGAAAGAAAATGTGTTTTTTAATAATGTGTCTACGAAACAAGTGGGAAAATAACCTGCACGGGTGAACAGATGCCATTGGTGGGCCAGCAACATGTGGATGGGTTTCCATGGTGACAGTCTTGTTAGCATGGTCTTGACTAAAGTCCTCATACATTTCTTCCACTGTCAAAGGCTGCCGACACTGTAAATGGAATAAATTAAATGTGTAAAATGGCCTTTACATATAGTTTCTATCAAACACATTTCTGTTAGAATTTATAAAATAAAAACCAGCGTTGAAAGTAATGAAACTCCATTTTACTGGGTGAAGACCCGGAGGCTTCCTGAAGCTATCCAGACTGATATGTCCTATATTAGTTTGGGGTCATCAGTCACTGGAGTTCTTATGCCTGCTGGGAATCTCAAGCCAGAACTTGGTCCACTCAAGCACAGGGAGCAATCAATTTTGGCACAGTCCAGCCAAAAGGTTAGGGCCTCGCAGTCTGGAAATGGTGCCACATAAAGAGGAAGATGCCGAGACCACACCGATGCAAAAAGAGGTTGACATCTGGGCACCCGAACAATCAGCAGTCACAGAAGGAAGCACCATTAATGGTCCATTCTGCAGAGACAGGAACAAACCAAGACAGCTGTCAGCCTGAATGTGAACATTTAGAGAGCCAAAACCCAAAAAATTCAGAACACACTGACTGCAGAGACCCCTCTCCTTCCTCCCCCATGCTGGTCAAGACAAGGAACCACAGGGTTACAGTTCAAATGGAGCCAGATCACAGAGCTTGGAGGAATCTGAACACACCACAGCATCTGTCACACAACTGCAAACACCCGAACCATCCTATGAGCTCGAAAAAGGGCTGAGGACCAATGACCTTGGCCAAATTGGAGAGTGCAGTCACAAAACCCAAGCCGACAGCTGAGTAGTTTGTGAAAACGTCGAACAAAGACAGAGGAAGGCACCAGGAAATAGAACCCTGAAAACCAGAAGAGGAAGCCAGCAATGCAGCAGCCAGCAGAGGCCCCTCCGGAGTCCACACCCAATGATTGCAAGAGTGATAAAAGGGGTTTCCCCAAAGAAACCCAAACAACCCCCCAAGCCAGATTCAGCCCAAAGAAAAATCAAGAAGGGCAAAGGTCAGGATCCCACACAACTGCTCAAGTAACAACCAAGTCACCAGGTGATCACTTAACACCAAGAGATGGCAACATTGCAGCCAATGCAAGGATACAGGCAGCAGGGAAGTGATGCTGACCGAGTCCCAACCTAGTCCGAACCTGGGATGGAAATGACAAGAACTTCTGCCAGTTCACCAGGAACCTGAACCCTATGAGCTGAGAAAGAACCAGATCCCTGGCAAGTAGACACGCGAACTGACTGGGAACCCAGAGTCAGTCAGTCGTTGAGGTAGGCCAACACCCGAACACCTAACCATTGGGTGTGGACTCGCCTGGCGTTCCGCGAGCGCTATGTCATGGGTTCGTATCCTGGCCGGGGAGGATTTACTGGGCACAATTCCTTAACTGTAGCCTCTGTTTAACTAAACAGTAAAATGTGTACTTGGATGAAAAAACGATTCTTCGCGGCAGGGGATCGTATTCCAGGGACCATAGGATTAAGGACTTGCCCGAAACGCTACGCGTACTAGTGGCTGTACAAGAATGTAACAACTCTTGTATATATCTCAAAAAAAAAAAAAAAAAAAAAAACTAACCTCTGCAAATTAAATTTTATAACTGCACATACATGAACATCAAATCTTAGGATTACACATGTCTACATATTATTAAAACATACTAGTGATTCACTGGTTTATCATCAAACATTTATCATTTTCTCAATACTTTTAACAAGATTTTGGATATCCTACAAGATAAAAAATAGTAAGCAATTGCAGAACAATTTGTCTCTTAACCCCTGCACTGTGCACCTGTTTTTGACAAAAACTTCATAGTGCAATTGTTAAGGACATTTTTGTTGTTTTTATAAAGGTTCAGGTAAAGTTAACACTATCGCACGCGCACCGCAGACTTTGACGTCATGGGGCTAATGGTGCGGGCGAGCGTGCGGCGACGCCTATATGTGTATACTCGTTTAAGTTTTCTCACCTTAATTCTTGTGCTACGTCGTTCGTTTTGGTATCATTGTACAGTATTTGCAATTAACACTTTCGCGCTCTCCGCAAAGGTCACTCAGCCAACCGAATGTGCGCGCTGCGTTTTTATCGCTTAAGCGTAAAAACAAAAATGTGTATACTCTTTTTACTCTTTTGACCTTAGTTCTCATGCTACGTATTTCATTTTGGTACCAACGTGTTCGCAATAAAATTCTCTAGAAGAACATTAGTAAACTAAGTCACGAAACATATAGGGATACCAACACCAAATAAATAACTACGTAGATGACTCGCCGTGAGCGCCCATCAGCAACAAAATGTTTTTACTCTTGGGATTGTAATCACCTCCACACTTGTTCTACAGCGTTAATTTTGGTATCAATGGACTCGCAATGAAATTCCCAACACGGTGATATAAATATAAGCGTAGAATAATGATGCAGCCCGCCCGCAAGAGTGTGGGAAGTGGTGAAATTGTTACCCGGTATCGTTGACGGGACGACGCACGGCGCTTTGAAAGTTTATACTTATTTCACTCTCATGACATTAATTTTCTATGTACGTCATTCATTTTTATGTCAATGTGTTCGCAATAGAATGTTCTATGTGCCCATAGGTAAAAAATATCAACAAAGCGTAAGTTAGAATAGCGACAAATATAAAACAACGCTGGAACATATCAGTGAGCGTCAAACACACACGAAATATTTTTACTTTTGTTATGTTTGTCACGATTATACTTGTTGCACACAGTTATTTTTGGTTGTATATTGATCGGAATAAAATTCCCTAAACAGACATATGCATATAATACATGATATGGGGGAAGAATTACCAGTATAAACGGCTAAAGTCACCCACCTGCAACCCGTTTGGGACAAAATACCATTTGATCGAAGTTATCCACACCTTTCATGAACTTATTGTACCATGCAGCCTAGTGGTGAGAAAGAGAGCCTCATAGCGCGCAGTTTGAAACAAACCCAAAGTAAATCGGATAAAAATTGAATTTTATACAAATATTTTAAAAGTAGACATAACTTTATGTCCACTATGCGTTTACGTTAGACGAAACCGAACGCGCCGGCGCGTCCAGATAGCGCGAAAGTGTTAAATTCCCTGCAGATGTATATGCATATAATGTCCAAAAGCCTGGCAAGACCCCCCAGAGCAAAGCCTAAAGTCGGAAAAGTTACCCATGAATGCACAAAATCAGTAAAATGTGCATACTCGTTCAGTTTTCTCACCTTAATTCTTGTGCTACGTCGTTCGTTTTGGTATCATTGTATTCGCAATTAAATTCCCTGCAGATGTATATGCATATAATGTCCAAAAGCCTGGCAAGACTCCCCGCAGCAAAGCCTAAAGTTACCCGTGAACGAGCACCAATTTGCACACCACAACCTAATGTAATTACCTAAGTGTAATTACCTAAGTGTAGTTACAGGATGAGAGCTACGCTCGTGGTGTCCCGTCTTCCCAGCACTCTTTGTCATATGACGCTTTGAAACTACTGACAGTCTTGGCCTCCACCACCTTCTCACTTAACTTGTTCCAACCGTCTACCACTATTTGCGAAAGTGAATTTTCTTATATTTCTTCGGCATCTGTGTTTAGCTAGTTTATATCTATGACCTCTTGTTCTTAAAGTTCCAGATCTCAGGAAATCTCCCCTATCGATTTTATCAATTCCTGTTATTATTTTGTATGTATTGATCATATCACCTCTTTTTCTTCTGTCTTCCAGTTTTGGCATATTTAATGCCTCTAACCTCTCCTCTGGGAGCCAGTTCTGAGAGCCACTTAGTAGCATGTCTTTGCACCTTTTCCAGTTTGTTGATGCGCTTCTTAAGATATGGGCACCACACAACCGCTGCATATTCTAGCTTTGGCCTAACAAAAGTCGTGAACAATTTCTTTAGTATATCGCCATCCATGTATTTAAAAGCAATTCTGAAGTTAGAAAGCGTGGCATAGGCTCCTCACACAATATTCTTTATGTGGTCCTCAGGTGATAGTTTTCTATCTAGAACCACCCCTAGATCTCTTTCTTTATCAGAATTCTTTAAAGATTTCTCACATAATATATAGGTTGTGTGAGTGAAAGGGATTTAAAGCATTCAGCGCGGAGGTAAGAGATATGGGCCGACCAAGACAAACAAGTGTCAAAGATTAACCCCAAAAGCTTAGCGGAATCCCTGTTCATAAGGGGATGACCATAAAGCGACAAAAAGGGACGAAGAACGACATGCTTCCGAGTAAAAGTCATAGCACAAGTCTTAGACATAAAAAACTTGAAGCCATTATCGGTGGCCCAAGACGACACGGCATCAATCGCAAGTTGAAGCCGCCATTGAAGGAGAGGCGAATCATCACCCCGACAGCAAAGGGCAAGATCGTCTACATAGAGAGCGGAGAAGACGCCAGAAGGAAGGGAGGAATGAAGACCATTGAGGGCAACAAGAAAAAGAGTAGTGCTCAGAACACTACCTTGAGGCACACCCTCATATTACCTAAAGGGGGCAGAGAGTGTGGCACCAAGCCTCACTTGAAAGGAACGACGAGAGAGGAAACTCTGGAGGAAGAGATAGAGATTCCCACAAAGGCCAAAGGAATGAAGTTGGGACAGAATATGAAACCGCCAGGTGGTGCCGTAAGCATTTTTCAGGTCAAAAAGGACGGCAACAACGGAGGTCTTTGCAGCAAAAGCAGTACGAATATAGACCTCCAAGTTCACTAGGACATCCGTTATGCTGCGGCACTTGCGAAAACCAAATTGAAAAGGGGAGAGGTGGTAATAGTGTTCCAAGAACCACATGAGACGAATGTTAACCATAGGTTCAGAGCGCTTGCAGACAACTCGGGAGGGCAATAGGGGGAAAGTCCTTGGGGGATCACATGAGAGACCCTGGTTTCCGAACAGGGAGGACAACAGCATCGAGCCAGTCCTCAGGGACTGACGACGACTCCCAGACCTGATTAAACAGACTCAGTAAATACTGAGATGTACATGGAGGGAGATCGCGAAGCATCTCATAATGAATGCCATCACAGCCCGCCGCCATAGAACCGCAGAGGGCCAGGGCAGACAAGCTCAGAGAGATAGAGAGAGAGAGAAGGGATTATTATAGGGAAGGCTGAGATGGGTACAGAAATCTAAAGGGCGAGATTCAAAAATAGACTTACAAAGGAAGGAAGGATTGAGGAAGATGAGAACCAGAGCTAACAGATGAAAAGTGGGAACCCAATTCGGTCGCGACCTGCAACGGGTCCGCCACAAGAATACCACGGATGTGAAGGACCGGCGAGACATCGGGAACGAACTTACTCGCTATCTTGCAGATACGCTTCCAGATCTGCGGCAGAGGAGTTTCGGACGTAATGATGGAGACATAAGACATCCAACATGCACCAACATGACTCAACCGTCTGCCGGTGGCAGTCTCTCTTCCAGCCTGCACGCTTACAGCGGACAGCCCGAGCACAGTCCACATTCCACCAGGGAATGCACTTCCATGTTCCCCGAGAGGAAGAGCGAGGAATAGAGCGGAGGGCAGCATCGAAGACGGTGCCATGAAAAGGAGGAGGATGCGAGGGAGAGGCAGAATGGAGAGGTCGGAGATAGTAGCACGGAGGGTTAGAAGTACCAGTTAGCTTTGGCAAACCGCCACCAAGGGAAGGTGACGGGAGGGTGAAAAGAGAAAAAGGTAACAAGGATGGGAAAATTGTCACTGCCATGGAGGTTATCAAGGACCCGCCACTCAAAATCTAAGTAAAGGGATGACGAGCAAAAAGAAAGATCAAGACAGGAAAGGGAGCGAGTTCGAGAGTCCAAATGAGTGGGCTCACCAGAATTCAGAAGAGACAGGGAAGAAGAGAGGATGAATGGTTTGAGAAGGCGACCCCGGGTGTTTGTCAGAACATCACCCCAAAGGACATGTTGACAACTGAAATCACCCAGCAGGAGCACAGGCTCTGGCAAGGAGTCCAGGAGGTGTCGAAGATCGGGAAGAGAAAGCGGGACATTTGGGGTGAGAGAAATGAAACAAACCGTGTACCATTTATACACAAAGACACGGGCAACAGAACAGTGGAGAGGCGATGGAAAAAGTAAGGAGACGAAGGGAACATCAGAGCAAATCAAGAGAGCAGAGGAGTTATGGGCCCCAGCAATAGCTGAGAGGGAAAAGGAGAGGAAAGAATAGCCACGGAAGCGACCAAGATGAGCACCAAGCATCGGCTCCTAGAGATACACACAAAGGGGCAAAAACTGTGAAATTAGAAGTTAGAGGTTAAGGAAATTGGCATAATATCCACGAATATTCCACTGAAGAAGTGACATCGACAAAAGGAGAAAGGATAGCAAAAGAGAACAAAGAAGAAAAAAGTGAAAAAGGAACACAGCACGTTAAAGCAGCTCCAGGTCAGGATCAGGGTCAGCGAAGTCAGGGTTAGGGGGCATGGGTAAACTGAGTAAAGGAGGAGGGAAAGGAGAGGGAGGACAGACCAGAGGTCTGTCCTCCCTCTCCCTGGACGAGCAGGGTCCGGAGGAGGAGACAACCGAGAGGGCGGTCAAGGAGAGCAGGAGGAGGGGCAGAAAGAGGGGAGCGCACCTCAGCAAGGGCAGCAACCGAGACGGAAGCGGGGGCCAAAGAAACCTCCATAGCAGGAACAGGGGGCTCTACCACTGAAACGGGAGGAGATGGAACAATAGAGTCAGAGATAGGGGGCGAAGAAGAAAGCGAAGCCTTCTTACCTGCCGGGGAGGAGGAAGGAGATGAGCCAGGCTTTTGCTTCTGACTCAAAGAGACAGGTGTCCCAGCAGCAATGTACTGGGTAACAGACTCTAGCGTCTCAATAGGAAAAGAAGAACGAGAGCGAACAACATGATCTCCTGGAGAGCGATGGACATCAGCCCGCACAGACAGGCGACGTGGAGAGCCAAGAGACTGAGGAGAATGACGGGAAGGAGGAACAGAGGGAGAGGAGAAAGAAGACAAAGGAGACATGACAGACTGGGTAGAAAGAAGGGGAACCCCAGACAGAGAACCAGGAGGGGGACCCTCCAGGACAGAATGTAAAGGAACAGGGGAGGAGGAGGTTGTGGGCATGTCTGGGTTCAAGGCCTGGAAACAGATGTGAGACAGAGGAAGGTGGGAAGGACGAGGAGAGGAAGAGCGCAACACGGGAGCACAAGAGATCCCAGCGAAAGGGGGGAGACGATGAACTTTGCGCCTCGCCTCAGGAAAAGACAAACGGTTTCGGTGCTTCAAGTTGAAGACGGCTGCCTCAAGTTTATAACGTATATACGTGCGGGAGAAGGTAGGGTGGGCTTCACTGTAATTGAGGCAGCGGGCCTGGGAAGAAGTGCACTCCAACTTAGAGTGACCCTCATCCCCTCGCATTGGACAGAGAGAGACAGGACTAGCGCATTTGAGGGCACCATGCCCAAATTTCCAGAACTTATTACAGAGCTGAGGAGATGGAATATACTCTTGAACGGAGCACCTGGCACCAGCAAGAATGACAGAGGGTGGAAGGGTCCTACCATCAAAGGTAATCTTCACAACCCAAAGGGGCAGACAGCGACAACCACGAGGGAGACGAGTAAATGTATCCGCCTGTAGGACAGAATGGCCTTGGGCCTCGAAGATATGCTTGATATCCTCATGGCAGTTCTTTATATTTCTAATACCGGTTGCAACATAGTGCGGGAGGAGAACCGTGCCAACACTGGCATTTAACCGAGCGTTCTTTGAGATCCGAACAGGGGTCTCACCAATGCAGGATAAGGCAGCCAAGCGGGTGGCTGCATTCCGAGAAGGAGCAGCAATGACAAGGTACCGAGACGGGTGGGGTTGAAAGTAACAGACGTATCTACTGAATCAACAAGATGCCTATGAAGGGAAAAATCATCAGCTACTTAGTCCACGTAGCAGGACCAAACAAGGCATGGTACGAATTAGTATGGGAAGGGAGCATATGAGAGCAGCCGTGGTGGGAATGGCGGTGAGAATCTCTAGAGAGAGATGGGTCATAAGGCGCAGTAGTCACAATGAGAAATGGAGCCATGCAAGGGGACGAGGCGGTCACCACAGAAGGCTTGGGGCTCGACCCAACCACAGAGGAGGGAGGGGAGCAGGGAGTAGTAGTCCAGTCTGGGCCTAAACCAGGCCCTGTAGCGGGGGCTACAGAGCCTGGTCTTCCAGGACAGTCCGACTCGGGGGCCTGGTCGCCCACCCCATGAGCCTGGGTAAGAGAAGTCGTGTTGTCATCCATGCATCGATCAATTTAAAGGTTTGAGACCTGGAACCAAGGGATACCACCTACCAGGGCAGCCAGGGAGGCCGAGCGCAGACTAGTGCGGGAAGGGTGTGTCGTCCCCAGCGGTGCTCCCCCTTTTCAACAGGGGAGTCCTACTACATCGTCCATTCTCCTACACTTGTGCTAAGACCCCATTTCCCCATCGCCCCAGCCTGGACACCCAACCATCCACTCAGGACGGCCCCTCACGGGCGACCCCTCCAGCAGGTGGTCCTATGGCTCACAAGGCCCCTACGTGGTGCCCTTCAGCACGTACACCACCCAAAGAGGGGGCAGGAGAGGGGGCAAATGCAACCTACACCTGTCCCAGAAAGGTGTACGTGAGCCCCTCACCACGGCAAGGAGGCACCACGGAGGGGATGCAGCCTAGCAGAAATGCCATAATTTACTATATTATGTAATATCAGGTGTTACTCTGATTACTGAGAACAGCATTTTCCCGCAACACTTTTCCGTCCTGTGTCCAAGCCTCTCATCCCTCAAGAAAAAAGCAGATGGTGGGCACGGGGGTAAGAATAATAATAATTGTACACAAAAATAAATTAAAATTATACAACTAATGCTTAACAATCACACTATTAACTATGATAATTTGCAATAAAAAAAAATAAGCCTTGCCTCATCATAGCCTGTCAACCAGAGCCGAGGTGTCTGGTAGTACTTGTCGTAGGTGATGTGAAGGTCATATGTTCTAGTTATTAGAATTTCTCCTCCTTCCCCAGTGTTACCTCCTGAAGTTAATGCTATGGTGGTTGTCTTGGCTGAAGTCTCTACTGCACTCTGGAAAAAATTACCACGTGAGACACTTAAAAATATTTACCCCAAGAAAATGTACTAGATCAATACTGAATGAAAACTTGGCTCTACCTTCTAGATCATATTTTGTTGCTCTACACTGTATGTAGCTAAATTTGAATAAGTGAAAATGAATGTTTAATGACTACATGTATGATACAGTGTGTCCTGGCTTGAATGAACTATATGGGGCGATGTCGATTCGTTCCACCACGGAATTAGTTTTACCCCATCATCCCCAGGCTGTCTCACCTCCTCCATGTGAAAAGAACAGAAGTTCTACATCCACTATAAAAAAAACAGCATTGAATGTGATGAAACGCCATTTTCTGGGTGAGACCTGGAGGCTCACCGAGCTTACTAGGCTGGTATGCTAATATCAGACTTTGGCATCAGTCGTGTATGGAGTTCTGTGGGCCTACCGGGGACCACGAGCCAGAACCTGGCCCCCTCAGAGAGGCATGGGGAGCAATGGCCTATAGAACCCCCCCCCCCCCCCCCGGGGGGTTCCGGGCCGCGGGGACACTAAAGCCCCGAAATCATCTCAAGATAACCCCCCTCCCGTGTGGTTGGAAGTATTCTATGTCTGCCATCAACCAGGTCAGGCACCCAGAAAGGTAAGCATCCCAAAACAAACCCCTATTCTGGTGAAAATATTGCTACCAAAAGCCAATCAAGTAGATAGAACTCCCCTAAAAGAAACGAGCAAACGAGCATGACGTCACACGTCGCTGCACCACTGTCTGCACAGCTCCCCTCTCCCTGGGAGGAGGAAGGGGAAGCCCCAGACTCCCCCAATCCTGCTATTCACCCATCAGTTCTGAGGCTGGATGTCAAAACACGCCAAAAAAAGCCGACCGGAGGGAGGGAGGGATGCCGGGAAGCCTCCGGGTCTCACCCAGAAAATGGCGTTGCATTACATTCAATGCTGGTTTTCTGGGGGGAGCCGCTTCGGCTCCTCGGAGCTAACTACCCACAGAGGAAAACAGAGACTTACCCGGGAGGTGGTCGCTGCTCACTCTTCAACTCGAAGTTGAGACAACTGGCTGCAGCTGCCGACCCAAAGCAACACAGGCCCAACGAGGCTCAGGGATGTTCACTAGGTAACGAACAGCCAGGACCCTGTTTGACCGCCAAAAGCCCCGTGCCCGAAAGTCAGCCCAGGACAAGTTGCCAAAGACAGCATCAAGAGCAGCGAACTTACGAACGTCATGGGCACGGGGTAGACCGCAGGCTGGCAAGCCTTAATAACTCTGCGGATGACTTGGGAGACCTGCACCGGCTGAAGTGGCTCTGCTAGCGCTGCACAATACGAGGCGATAGTGATAGGCATAAGGTGACGGTCCTGGAACAACCAAGAAAGGACAACACCACCCGAACAGAAAGTGAAACACAACGACAAAGACGTAAAAAAAACCGGAAAGACCGCCAGGAGATCTCATACTGCTGCCGAGACGAAACCCACAGGTGGGACACCAACAAAGAAGCCACCTTATCACCATAGAGATGATAAACCCGAGTCAAAAAGACCATACGCAAAGACTCGAGGAGAATATCAAACCAGCCACGTGACGCACCGGGCCGATCTGTTGGAAGAGGCAGAGCTGCGGGAAAACCTCCAGGTTTGGACACCGGGCAAGCAGTGCCTGAAACCACGGCTGGGCCGGCCACCACGGAGCCAAGAGAACTACTCTCTCCTGGTAGGTCTCCAAGCGAGTCAGGACCTGGAACAACAGCTGAACTGGGGAAAAGAGGTACAGGAACCCCCACCTTGACCAGTCCTGCCGAAAGGCATCGACCCCCGAAGGCCTTGCAATCGGGGGAGGGAGGCGCCGCGGCCACGCCGATGCGAAGAGGTCCACCTCATAGTGCCGAATGTCTGGCAGAGCCAACGGAAGGAGTCGACATCAACCATCCATTCCGTGGAGAGGGGAACGAAATGAGACAGGTGGTTGATCAAGACGTTGGACACTCCCCGCACATGAACAGCCAGGAGAGCCAAACCCCGAGAACTCAGCAGACGAGTCACCTGAAGCGACCAGCGCCAAAGAGCCAAGGACGGCATCGAACACCCTCGGTTCAGGCAATGAACCACCAGGGAACAGTCCGAATTTAGCCGGATCGTCGATCCGCAGGCAACCCGAACCCTCCGAAGCGCAAACCACAATGCCGCGAACTCCCGCACCGTGCTGTGGGCCCGACGGAAGGATGGACCCCACCACTCCTGGCCGGCCTGGTGAGCACTGGTCACAAAGCCCCAGCTGAGAGATGACGCATCCATGAACGCATCGAGCGAGGAGTCAGGCAGGCGCCAAGGTACTGAACCCTGAAAAACCCTAAGAGGAAGCGGCGATGCAAGGGCCCCCAGGGGCCGAACCCAGCAATCGCGAAAAAGGTGGAAGGGACGTCCCCGAAGGAACCAGAACAGCCGACCCGGCGGGTAGACCATCATTGCGAAGTTCAGGCTCCCGCACAAACCCTCGAGCAACTGCCAAGTGACCCGGGAGCCCCCCAGAAACAGGCGCAAGCAGGACCTCAGCCGGAGAAGAGACTCCAGAATAAGAGACAAGGAAGTGATCCGAGAGTCCCACACAAGACCCAGCCGTGGCCGAACCTGGGAGAGAACCAGATGGGACTTTCTCCAGTTCACCAAGAACCCGAACCCGGCGAGCTGGGAAAGCACCAAATCCCTGGCTAGCAGACAACTGAACCGGCTGGGATCCCAAACCAGCCAGTCGTCGAAGTAGGTCAACACCCGAACACCTAACAGACGCAGATGGGCCACAACGACCCACTTAAGGCGTGTGAACACGCGAGGTGCCAGATTCAACCCGAACAGAAGAAGACAAAAGCGGTAACCTTGATGCTACACAACAAAACCAAGCCAGTCCCTGAACCCCAAATGAATCGGGACGTGCCAATATACGTCTCGGAGGTCCAGGGACACCATCCAAGAACCCGGTTCCAACAGGAGCCGAACTTGAGACAGCGCAGTCATCTGAAAGGAGGGGCAATGAACCCAGGGGGTTCATTGCCCCTCCCACAAGGCTTCCCCCCATCGCCCCATCAATGGGGCGAACCGCGAAAGGACCCGTGCCCCCTACAAGACCCAGAACCTCGCACAGAGCGAGCACTGTGCCGACCAAACGTAGGCGGGTCCGAAGGCAGAGCCGAACCCGAAACTGGCACCAGTGGCCTACCACGACGAGTGAAACTCCGAGCCCTGGTACGATCTCTCCGGGAGGGTCCCCCAGGACCCCCGGAGAACCAAAAAGTCAGACAAAGGACGAGAACTGGCCAAAGCAGCCTGAATACAGTATACTGCGCCATGGCCAAAGAAGCAAAAAGCAAAGGACAAAAAGGAGAAGAGATCCTAAGAGCCCGAGCCCGGGCCCAGGCCAATTCCAAGGAGGAGGCAAGCACCGCCTGCCGTCACACGAGCCGGGAAGCGTAGAACACGGAAACTGCATCCCGTAAGATCAGTGTAAACAGCTTCAACAAGGCAGACGACGCACGTACTGCCGAGCCCAAGGCACCGGACCCTGGAACGGACCCGAGTGCCCCCACATCCTCCCCAAACCAGTCCAAAGACAGCTCTAGGAGGAAAAGAAGCGCAAGGCCGAAGCCAAGAAGCCCCGGGCACGCAAGTCCTCGGCCACCTATGCAGCCGACTAGGAGGGAACCTGCACATGGAGCTGCAGAACGCCAACATTCCAGGGAAGGGCAGGTGCAAACAAATATTCATTGAGGTGCTCAAGTTCGCCACTATCGAGACCTCGCGCCACTCAAGCGTGCGGGAATGACACGAAAGAATGCCAAGCCTCCAAAGCAAAAATAGGACAGTTTGCCAGCCAGGACGACTCCGGAACCTCATAATGGATCCAGAAAGAGAACAAAATCCCAAACCGGAAAGATGACGAACCCATCACCAAGGCGTAATACGGGTCACGCAGGAGGTAAGAAGCCAGGGCAGCCAAACCAGAATAGGGGTTTGTTTTGGGATGCTCAACTTTCTGGGTGCCTAACCCGGTCAATAGCAGACATAGAATGCTTCCAACCACATGAGGGTGTCTATAGGCCATTGCTCCCCATGCCTCTCTGAGGGGGGGGACAAGGTTTTGGCTCGTGGTCCCCGGTAGACCCTAAGAACTCCATACACATAACTGATGCCAACGTCTGACATTAGCATATCAGCCTGGTATAGCTCTGGGAAGCCTCCGGGTCTCACCCAGAAAATGCCGTTTCATTACATGCAACGCTGTTTTTTTTTTTTTTTATGAGAATTTTTTTTTTTTTTAAGATTTTAGTTTTTTTTCTCCTTTGTTTATTATTTGATTTTGTTGTAACCTTTACATCCTGGAGAATGCATATGTTTCCCTAACTATGTAAAGATAGAATGAAATTAGTCAACAAACAAATCAGTCACAACTCACAGAACTTGGGACTTAATTTTTTTTGGGCAGATTTTTTCTCAAATTTCAAACTATTTTCTTTGTCTCTTTAGGTTGTTTTGATGATTAGGGACCATATTAGGGCTTTTTCACTTACATAAAGTATACCCAAAATATATCCCCTAAATCTCTGTAATTATTATAATTATCCCTATATTTTGTGTTTTTTGGGGGGTTATTTTTTCTTGACTTCATTTCAACACATATTGACCTACAACTTTCACATATTCGAGTACGAATGCCAAACAATGTTTATTAAAACATACAATTAAATTAACGAATTAAAACTACCTTTATTCATTGTTGATAACTTCAACTTCAATTATCTCTGAAACTAGAGTTTCAACTTTGAGTGGTTTCTAAAATTCTAGTTTTTTACCGATTCTTACTATTTCGTCATATTGTGTGTTCGGCTGCCTGTTCGACAATCCCTTCGGAATGAATTTTTCAAAAATTTTACACATTTGGAGCAATCATTTTTTTTTTTTAAATTTGCGGCATATTTCAAATGCCATATTGACAATTTTTTTACAGTAAGCTATATTGAAAACCTGTATTTAATTTGATGGAAATGAAGTTCATATGCTATTCTGCGAGAATAACACCACCAGATGAACAATTGGTGATAGTTCATATTTTTTATTCCGATTTGAAAATTATGAAGTTTTCAACATTAAATTTTAAAATTAACTTTGATTCTCTTGTTCTTTAAGTTACGTTGTGATCCTTTAAACAAAGTTGGAGCTTTTACCTAGTTGATTATGCACAAAAAATTTAAAAGCGCTTGTGCAAGTTTTAAAAACTTGAGTTATGTCAAATCGTGTATGTATGTTGACCAGACCACACACTAGAAGGTGAAGGGACGACGACGTTTCGGTCCGTCCTGGACCATTTTCAATCGACTTGAAAATGGTCCAGGACGGACCAAAACGTCGTCGTCCCTTCACCTTCTAGTGTGTGGTCTGGTCAACATACTTTAGCCACGTTATTGTGACTCATCGCCTGTGTATGTATGTATTGCGTGGTTTAAGGGTTAATCCAACATTTGTATGTTCCACTAAACATTTAGTACCGAATGCAATTTTTTCGGATCATCCGGGAATTCATTAGAGTGAGGATGCACTGCACTTCAAATCATGAGGCCAGAGGCCAATAACAAGCATAACAAATGCCTTGCCAATTTTGGTACCAAGTGATAATTAAATCCTAATTTAAATTTCATAAGTTATTTTTACATGCTAAAAGCAAACAAAACACAAAAATGCTCTTACAAAAACAATCTCTCACTCATATCCATTAGATTAGAACCCCCCTAATCTTTGCATTTGTTTTCTTCTGACTTGTATTTATTTACTTAGCCATATTCATTCATACCACTAAACCTATAGCAAAATTAAACAAACAAATAGAAAGATATGTGGCTCTAATCACTGAAGATATAAACTTCAAACTTGTTAACTTGTATAACATCCTATTACTAAGATTTGAATAAGTAATTATCAAAAGAAAGCACTAAGCCAGGGAGGGTATGCAACACCGTCAAATGTGCGGGATATTAATAAGGTGCTAAATATTACTAAGTATGCCAATACAAGAACAAAAGCACACAAGGCGAACAATATCAAAAGTAATCAGATTCACCAAGGAATCTATCGAGGGATAAGTGACTGTGAGGGATGGTTGGGAAGCAAGATGCACGCACATCCTGGAAGTCAGGACATTCAACAGGGATGTGCACGACCTTAAGAGGGACAATGCAATTTGGACAATAAGGAGCAGGGTGGCACTCCACTAAGTGCCCAGGAGTTTACCTTGTATGGCCAATACGTAACCACACCAGAGCCATTTCCCAATGCTGGTTACTGTGGGAAGAAGGCCATGGGGACACACTACTCTTTAAGAGCACGTAGTTTGTTACCAGTAATAGAAGACCAACAACCCTGCTAACGGGCACGGATTGAGGAATGAATAACTGGGTAGAAGTTTAAATAAGGAACTCCTTTACAGTAAATGGGACAAGTGCAGATGGCCTCCTTCACCGCAGCATCCGATTCCTCATTTAAGGAAACACAAACATGGCTGGGAATCCAGCAAAACTCGACTGTCTTAAATCTGCTGGAGATGAGAAACAGCCAATATTGAATTTTAACAACCACAAGATGAACAGGATTAAAGGATTCCAGAGCCATGAGGGCACTGCAAGGGTCAACTACAGAAATAAAAGAAGAATTACAGCGAGAAAGCAGTTGACGAAGAGCATACAAAATATCATAAAGTTCTGCAGTGAAGATGCTAGTCTCCAGTGGCAGGTGACACACACAGGTGCAGTCAGTAGCTGCAACGGAGTAGCCTACACCACCGGCAGACTTCGATCCATCTGTGAAGACGGAGATGGAGCTGGAGTATAAAGAAACGTGAGCAAGGAAAAGGTGTTTCAGAACTGTAGGAGGGGTAAAAGCTTTAGTCATGAGGGTCAAGGTTCTACAAAACTTCGGAAGAAGGACCCTCCATGGGGCAAGGATGGAACAACTTGAAGAAAAACATTGGTAACAGTTGGGCACAGTACAGGAGACAAGAACCACTGGGAAAGAAGGAAGGAAACACCAGACACAGAACCAGGAGGAAGAACCTCTTGCCCAGAACACAAAGAAGCAGATGAGGTGGTGGTGGTGGGTGGTGGTGTCGGGGTCCAAGGCCTCGAAACAGTCACAAAACTGAGAAAGCGGAAGAGGGCGAGAAGAAGGGGAACGCAACACGCAAGCAAGACATATTTGGCAATTGGTCGACCCAGAGTACCCCGGTACACTGGTACATGGTACACTGATCCAGACAGGGTCGACCTAGACACCACAGGGTACCCCATCTATTATAACAATAAATCAAAGTACTGTACTGTAATAACATTTTTTCATCACTATCAAGTCCAAACACAGCAAGCTTTCACAACATACTAAATCATCTTGTTCAAGCATCCCCGACTCTTCAAAAGCTTCCATATCTGCTGCCTCTTCATCCTCATCATCATCATCGTCATCATCGTCATCGTCGTTGTTGTCAGTGCAACTTGCTTTCTGAGAAAAAAATTAAATGTACAAGATTTTTATACAGTAAAGAAAATCTAAACAATGAAATGAATCTACATTATTTATAACTCCATTTTTAGGAACAGAAAGCCTGTACTTAAGCTTACCGAGGTCCTCTAAGTCACGTCCTTACCATCCATAAGATGCAACTCACAACAGTCGCCTAATATCCAGGTACTTTTTTACTGGTAAGCAAACAGAGTCATTGGGTGAAAGGACACATGTCCAATCACTTCTGTCCTGCCCAGGCATCGTTCCTAGGGTCATCGATTGTAAAGTTTAGGACGTAGACCACTACACTCAAGTAGACAGCAAGTTGGTTCAAATGATTAAGAGCATATTCGGATAGAGGACAGAATTTAGAAATACATGGCTGTGATGGGTGGTGGAACAAAATATATTGAATTGTACAACAACAAGGAATCATGTGCAATACTTTGCACAAGTCACCATCCCGAGGCATTGCTACAATCACTCATCGAGTTATTAAAAAACCAGTGTTGAATGTAACGAAATGCCATTTTTTGGGTGAAACCCAAAGGCTCCCCAGAGATATCCAAGCTGATATGTATATCATTAGACTTTAGCATCAGTTTGTGTTAATGGAGTTCCAGGCCTACCAGGGACCACGAGCCAGAACCTGGGCCCCCTCAGAGAGGCACGAGGAGCAATGGCCTATAGAAATGCAGATGTGATTAGAAGAATTACGTCTGCCATCGATCAGGCCAGGCACCCAGAAAGGCAAGCGCCTCAAAACAAACCCCTATTCTGGTTAAAACAACTAAAGAAGACTAATGAGTGGACAAAATTCCCCAATTGAAAACGAGCAAGACGTCACACGTGCCTCGCCGCATGTCTGCACAGCTTCCCCCTCCCCGGGAGGGAAAAGGGGTAGCCCCAGACCCACCACACTGGCGATCCACCATCAGTGGATCGCCGGTTTATCAGTGATAAACCCATCAGTTTAACAGATCGAAGCTGGAATGTCAAAACTCACAAAAACCTGCCGACCGGGGGAAGGGAGGGTTGCCAGGTAGCCTCCGGGTCTCACCCAGAAAATGACCTTTCATTACATTCAGCACTGGTTTTCTAGGGGGAGCCCCTTCAACTCCCCGAGACAAGGCGACAGTATGTGGCAAGATGACGGTCGTGAACCTCCATGAGAGAATGACAAGACCACTTCAACAAAAGCGCAGTAGACCTACAAAGAAATAAAAAGAAAAGGGAAGGACCGCCAGGAACCCCATACTACCGCCGAGACAAAGCACGCAGGTGGGACACCACCAACGAAACCACCTATCACCAAACAGATGGTGATTGACTCGAGTCAAAAGTACCAGACGCGAAGACTCGAGGAGAAGACCGAACCAGCCCCATAATGGACCGGACTGAGCATCGGAGAGAAGCGGAGCCATGGGAAAAACCCCAGGGCGCGGACACTGAGCAAGCCGCGCCTGAAACCAAAGCCGTCAGGGAACCAGATGGAACGACCGCCAGAGCACCAGGAACCTAAACTTGGCGAGCCAGGAAAGAACCAACCCGGGCCAAGCAGACTCGCCCCATCTAGGAGGAACCACCTCCCCCCTTGAGACCTCTGAAGGACCAACAAGTCCGATAACGGATGACAATGAGAATAAGCCGCTTGCAGAAACGGCCCAACTGCAGACTCGGCAAACAGCAAGGACAAAATGGTGACGTAAACCTAAGAGCCAGAGCCCAGGCAGAGGCCAACGAGGAAGCGAGCACCACGAGCAGACACACGAGACATGAAGCGAAAACAGTGACACCTCATCCTGCAGGATCGGCGCAACAAGCTCCATCAGGGCAGGACGATGCACGCGCCACCGATTAATGTATGAGGAGAACTACTTAAGATGTGTACTGCACCAAAATAAAAATTTCAGTATGAAAAACCATCACTAAGTCCATAGCCAGGGCTGTAAGACCCAGCTCCTCCTGTCCTAACGACAATGAACTGTCAGGGGGGCAGGAGTGGCTGATTGGAAATCAACATCCACCTGCAGATATTGCAACACAGCAGCAGGTAGATGATGAAAGAACTCATCTCTAGTTGTATCACAACTGAAGGAAAGAAAGCAGTCTCCGTGGTGTAGTGGTAAGACACTCGCCTGGCGTTCCGCGAGCGCTATGTCATGGGTTCGTATCCTGGCCGGGGAGGATTTACTGGGCGCAATTCCTTAACTGTAGCCTCTGTTTAACGCAACAGTAAAATGTGTACTTGGATGAAAAAACGATTCTTCGCGGTGGTATTGGATAGTAAACTGTCACCATAGTTGACCAGGCCACACACTAGAAGGTTAAGGGACGACGACATTTCGGTCCGTCCTGGACCATTCTCAAGTCGATTGTGATGAAGTAGAGACAGGCAATAAGTAGGCAAGAGAGAGCCGAGGAGCAAAGTAAGGTGTCACCATAGGATCATGAAAAAAGAGCATAGAAAGAAGAGCCTGTGTTACTCTGGCCATCTTCAGAATTGCTTTTTTGAATTCATGGATGGATAAATGCTAAAAGCTTTTCACAACACTTGAGAAACCTAAACTCGAGTACAATGCTCGTGTCTCGAAAAGCAAACCAATAAACTGAATCAAAGACGTGCTACTAAATGCTCCCATACTTTAACAATAAGGGCAATGAGGAGACCCTAAAAGTATCAGATATGCCAAAATTAGGGAACAAAGACAGGTAATATGATCGCCACGTACAAAATTGCAAAAAATTAAAAAATTTCTAAGTAAGAATGTTAAATATGCATAAAAAACAAGATAGCATAATTCAAGATAAGAAAACCAGGCGTGTCAAAAAAGCTTGAGTAGATACTTTTTAGCAGAGTGGGTGATGGATAGAGTAATTTAAATGAGATGATAGTGTTTGCCAAAATCATCAGATGCTTCAAAAAGTCATATAGTGTTGTTGTATAGCTCTCATCCTGTAACTAGACTTTGGTAATTATAGAACGTGTAAACATACCATAAAAAAGATTTTCACTCGCTGTTTTCCATAGAGCAGGAATAGTCAACCAACCTTATCCTCAAGGGACATATCTGCTACCTTCTCCTCCAATATGGCCGAGTCACTGAAGTGATGAGTGTCTACCCACCCCCCATCTGGATCACCTTCAGATTCCAACACCAACTCCTGTTCACTTCGATACTCCATCTGTTAAAACAAGAACTCTCTTTTAGCAGGATAAAAAATACAAGAGGAGCAGGACTATGTCAACCATTATTGTTTCTTGTGTAGTTGTTTTTGTTTCATTTGTATGTACAGTAATGCACAATATCTAAAGCTACCTTCAAAACTAAATCTAGATGACTTGTGTTTGTAAGCAAGCTGTAACACTGTAAAAGTGTTTGGCTTAGTTGATTTAAAATATATACATAGAGTACATGAGTCACAGACAAGGATCTGAGAGGCGCCAGTTGTCTGCCTGAGATCTCACACCTCAAAGCGTTAATGACCTCAAGTGACCTGAGGTCAGATCATGAGAATTTCACCTTGCTTCCGCTAAGCTCTTAATTGTAGTCTGGTAGCCTTCAAACAAGCCGACGTTTAAGGAGTGGCTTGGTAGTGCCGGAGGCTATCTATTTGTGGGCGGAGTTAGCTACTAGGTTCCCCAATAAATACTCGGAGAACTATCGAGCATGAAGCATTAACGAGACAGAACAGCAGACGAGAGCAGAGGAGACGGCCCTACCAGGGAGGCTGTCGGCCGGCAGGGCGGGAGTCTCTGTCAACTACAGACCCCCCCCCCTCTCCATTCAACTTAGACTCAGTCCTCGGTGAGTGAACATTAAGGTGACTTGTCGTGTTTTACAAGTGTTGTGTGACGATCAGGGGCAGTCAATTGTAGTGGTCTCAGATTCTTGGATGATGACTCACTTTGAATATTAATCGTTAACATTTTTAATTGGATTGCTTAAGTTATGATACTTATCATGAAAAATATAATTGTTGAATTTATTATTTAAATGGTCTTTCACTGTGTTCCCTAGAGAATTGAGTTGAGGTGAGAAAGCCTCTGTGGTTACTGGTTTCATGGTTTAGAATGAGTACATGATAAAGATGGGACCATGCTAATAATGATCTCTTGATAACATCCTTTGAGAATTTTGTGATACAGGCAAGTTCCATTCCTTGTCTTGTATGTAATGATCATGAATGGATGGTGGCAGCATTTCGTCTTCTACTATCTACTCTTCTACTTCTACTATCTACTCTTCTACTTCTACCTATCTACACCTCTCCCTCCACCCCCTCTCTAAACTCTCACTTTCAACTAATGACCCTCCTCGCTCCTCCCACCTCTGTGCCTATCACCCCAAACCCTCACTAATTACTTCACTATTCATTTCTTTCCTTTCGCTTTCTCTTATACGTTTGTGGCAATGATTCTGTATTCTAGAGTTCTCTCTAGAGTTTCGGGTAACTGATCAAGTGACGGCGCCTTGTAGTCTTAGCACCTAGGTAGTCAAATACTTAGGTTACAAGGTGTTGAACGAGAGAGGTTGCCTTAGGAACTCTGGAGGTGCTCTAGAATCGTTAGTTAACTGGGGGGGTGGAATAATGGACAAGATAGAGCTATTTCCCCCACCCCCCGTTACAAAGCAACTAAACAATGATTTCTTCTATGCAAGGCAAAACCTGGGGCCTATAAATTTGTTAATATCAACAGTCAATTTAAAATGATTTGCATGTTGATGCAAGTGGTCAGTACAACTATGCAAGGTTTATTCTAAACTATTTCATTAAAGCTGCTCTAGCCCATGAAGTGCAGATATCATACACTGAATAACAGGGTGATGCTGATACAGTATTATCAAATGTTGAGGTTCAGTTATTATCACCCAGCTTTTATACAAATGTAAATATGGTCATAATACATCAATATGGATGTACAATGGTGGACCTAACCAAGACAAAATTCTACTATCATTTTAAATTGCTTACTGTTCGATGAGATGATCATGTACGCTATCCTGCGATTACAGTCATATCACAATTTCACCTATACTGCAAGTGTTTGAATCTACAAGCACATCTTCAAAATCTGGACCATATCATCCAGGACTGATCAGTATTTGTGTCAGTCCTGGTTCTTGGAAACTTGCCTTTTTAATCAGATCTTCTATATTTTTCCATGTAAAACTCATAATGAATATGAATCATAAAATTTTGTTTTAGATATGCTCACAGCTTTCCCAAGACTCACTGTTTCTCCTAATGTTACAATTTAAAACCATTTATCAGACCCATATTAAAAGGCATGATCATTCATAACTTTATTTACCATGCGCTATGGGATAAGTTCACTGAGCAAATTTTTTTTTTTTTACCTATCACATAATGGATAATTACCAGAAGAACCTGTCTGTAAAGCTATTTAGCTTATTCCTCCATGACCCCAGATATAAAATGTTATTTTCACGGTAGTGGGGCTCAAATGTCTCCATGCCCGAAGTGGAAGGAGCCACTCCCAGAGAAGGCTGAGCTACACCCCAAGCAAAACCCTGCCTCGACTCCGAAACCCTCAGACATTAAGAAGCGGGGAGCAGAGAAGGGAAAAAAGGAGCAGAAGCCAAGTATACAACACCCAAAGAGAAGAAAGAGGAACCCCACACAGAACAAAGATGGAAC